AATATGTTAGCCATGCCCGCTCGACTTCAGTTCGTATGGTCGTTTATTTCAAAAGAAGTTTAAGTCTTCCAAAGAGGAAAGGACACTCGGTAATTGAGTGCTGCACTTAACACTCAAGTGCCCCACCTTGTAGCTCAAAAGCTTGAACCCTGGCTACAGGTTTCCGTGTAGATTTTCTGTTCTGTGTACTAGAAGAATTATATTCACAGTCAATCCCCAACAATAGGCAAACCTCTCTCTTGCAGTAGGTCAGCTCTCACGCCGCTTATATTCAGGTGCTTTTCAAAACTCATCTAATGTAATACCCAAAATAATTTGAATGTTCTCTACGTAGAAGAGAAAATTTATGTATAACTTCTTGAAGAAAAAGAATTGTCGTGATTATAAGACTTTTTTAATGTCACTGAGATTGAATACAAACGAACAACAAAATGAGCTTTTTTGATGGAGCCATTTTCCAATACTGAACAATCTCACCGTCTTCTTTGCTGTTTTTTTTCTAATCATTAAGATGCCATTCGCTTCACCTTTTTACCATGTGCTCTAATATGGCTCACCTACTCGTACTTCATCTATGGTTGCGTGTTGGGCTTCATCTACACATATCGTCGTGCAGAGCAATGGCGTTCGCAAAAGAATGGTACAGCTGCAGCTTCATTGAGCTGGTCTTTTAGAGGTATCCGCAAGACATAAAACATCCCGACTCTTGTTTCAATATTGTTTTGGTCGCAGTTTGTGCGTGGATCCTTAGGCAACGTCTCCTAAATGCCAGAAGTAAGTAACATGTGTCAAGAACTCATATCATTTCAGTTCCATCAGAACGGCCTTCTATGCTTCATCGCTTTAGAGATTGTTCCAATGCAAAACGTGGGTTTAGATCATTCTTTATATCTACATATCAAAAGTCTGCATTACTCACAGCATGCAATCGTGTCTCTTGCAGCTGGATTTCTTTCGCGATTGAGTGTTACTAACCGTAGCTGGCGCAGCAACCAAAGTGGTGATAATCCGACCTTGCGGAGTTATATCAAAAAGTGCGATGGTGAGTGTGCCAAATCTTAGAGCACTTCTATAAAATTTGAAGGCGTGCTGTTGTTTGTACCAACCAGTATTCTTTGCACCAGAGAAAATTGTGCGTTCCAGACGATGCATGTCCATCGTTTTTCTCGGAAGAAATCAACATCAGCTTCGGATCTGATAATGGGTAATATCTCTTATATTATCTTTCACTTTAGAAAAATTCAATGTTCTTGCAGTAGTGAAAATAATAATCTGAACCGTTCTTTCTGTGCATTCAACTTATCGCATCGGCAGTTGGATACTGTTGAGGAGGAGGCAGAGAGTCAAGAAAGTACGCTGGTCAGTTCAACAGCCACAGATCCATCGAATATTGCCACAAGGATGTAGCGTGGTAATATTTTCGGTTTTTCTATGTTGAACTTCATCTCAAAATATTCAAGAATAATGAGGGAAACATAAGGACGATTCTTTTCTTTCTTCACTCACTTATTAGCTAGACATGATAGCTTAATTCGAAAGTCTTGTTTTTTTGATGATGCCATAGTTTTTCTGAACGTCAACTTTTTGAGCGCAATAAGAATCGGCCGGTCGAGGGTGCGCGGTGGTTGCGTTGCGGCCCCTGTTAAGTATCAATTTAGCTCAATTCGGCTCTATCCCAGCCTTTCCGCACTTTTTTCTTCCAACTTTAATTGCTTTCTTTCCTTAGGTCGTGCGAGAATTCCCAGAAGTCGTCAGCAAATTTGCCGTAAAGATGAGTATGGAACCCCATGCAAAATGGTATTTGACTGCGGTGCAGCAACGCAGCCGCCGCCGGCCTCTGTCGGCCGATTCTAATCGCCTTATAAGCGTTATAAGGGAAGAATGGAGATACACTAAGAGAGAAAGCCAGCTACTAGAAACATTCCCTGGAAAATGCTGACCCTTGGTGCGAGTTTCGGGTGTAGTCAGCTCTTATAGGCTGATAAGATCCCTATAAGGGATATATCACTTTTTTGAACTAACACTTTCTAGCAGACTACCATGTGCTACATTTATGATGCCTTTGTGACCGTTGCGGTCTAATATAAATCTGCAATATGATTC